GCTAGAGAATCATGGGGATTGTATTTTTTTCTGAGACATTGAGCCTTCACTGTCAAAGAGCTCTGGTGCCACAATAAACTACAGTTTCTGGCAGTCTGCAAAGGCCCTGAAAGAATAAAAGTTGGCAGCATGAACTTTCGTAGACTTCAGTCTACTTCTTCACATACTTTTTGAAGTCTAGGAAAGCTCAGGCTGCCAACTTCTTTCTTTCAGTTAGGGGGGTTGCAGACTGCCAGAAATAGTGCAAATTGAGTCCACTTTAAGGGTTAGGGTTAGAGCTAGGGAATCATGGGAATTGTTTTTTTCCCCCTGATACATTGAGCCTTCTCTGTCAGAGAGCTCTGGTGCCACAATAAACTACAGTTCCCATGATTCCCTATCCCTAACCCTAAAATTGGACTCAATTTTCACTATTTCTGGCAGTCTGCAACCCCCCTAAGTCTCAAAGGTGCTACAAGATATTTCTACATACATACATACAAATATTCCAAAATCCCAAGAATGTTAGATAAGGGAGACAGCCTGGAGACACCTCTCTCAGCCAAGACTGCTGAATGACATTTAGAAGGACCACTCCAGACACAAGAGCTCCTGTTATTGCTATTTATTATACACTTTAATACATATATCATTAAGACGCTAACTCTGTTGATTGCAAGTTTGGCAGGTTGGCAGTTCAAGGCCAAGGTGCTGCATGATGGGGTGAGCTCCTGTCACTACTCCCAACTTCTGGCAGCCTAGCAGTTTGAAAGCATGAAAATGCAAGGAGATAAATAGGTACCACTTCAATGGGAAGGTAAACAACATTCTGTGAAATCATGCTGACCATATGAACACAGAGCAGTCTCTGACAACGCTGGCTCTTCAGCTTAGTAATGGAGATGAGCACCGTCCCCTACTGTTAGACATGACTTGACAACCTTATTGATGGGGAATACCTTTACCTATATATATATGAAACACACACACACACAATATGATTACATAAAAGACACCACACACACAGTTTTGGACTGCAGTTCCCATAATCCCTGGCTGTTGGCCAAGCTGTTTGAGGCTTCTGGGAGCTGAAGTCCAAGAACCTGGAGGCAGCAGGGTGGCTACAGGTCGCCCTCCTTTTCTAGGACCCGTCCTCCATTTCAGCCTTCTGCCCAGGAGGAACCACAAAACGTCCTCCATTTTGTGCAGGACTAGGGTTTCCATGGATTTCCATGTCTATGAGGGCTGTTTTAGCTTTCCTTTGGCCA